GCCTCGTTTGCCTTGGGGCATGAATCAGCGCAGCCAACGAAATGCTAAATAAATTTTCACTTCCATTTTAATTAATTTTAATTTATATGCAACTAAAACACACACACACGCAGACAGCAATAGCCAGGAAAATTGTTGTAAATTCTCTAAAAATAAATTGACAAATATTTCTTGTTTTTATGAAAAGGTAATGCAAACCACATGTCCTCCATTTTGCCTTAATTTAAACAACTTGATCAACACTGGCCAAATGCATTGCAATGGAAAAATAGTGTGCAAAATTGTGCATATATGTGGTGAGGGGGGAGGCAGGTGATATAGTTGGACTCAATTTTGGTGCCAAACAAATACATAAACTCACTTTGCGTGCTGCCATTTTGACGATTTGTGGCTGTCGAATGTTTGCTAATACTTTTTTCTTTGAATATATATATATATGTATATATATAATATAAATAGTATATATAATACTGGTCACTAATCACCCAATTAAATTACACAATGCCTCAGTCTGCGGCAAGAGCACGTTTTTTTTACACACACTCAAGACTTGCAGTTTTACAATTTGAAATATTTTATTTTTGAAAATTTTGAACAAAATATTTTTGATATTTTACGAGCTGCGCGCGTTGATGCCGTTCTGTTCCGTTTGATTTGTTCGGACGTTATGTCCACTTGAGAACTTGACTTTGGGACTTGGGGAACTACTCGTTGTCGATGTTGTTGTTGTTGTCGTTTTTGTAATCTTAAATGTTCTGCTCGTCGCAATTTCTCAGCTCGACTGAGTTCTGTTCGCCTCCTTGCTCAATGTTTTTATGCAGCCAAACGCGCGCAGCTCTTCTTTTTTGTTCAATTTCTTTATTATTTTTCAGAATTATACAGCAGTGGCCATATGCTTAGCAACAGTCAAAAGCAGCTCAGTAAAGGTGCAATTGCTGTAAACCGTTTGAGTGTCGCCTGGTAGAACATTGAGTTGTTTGGTGAGTCTCAAACTGTAGCTTTCAAACGGTGAATTTTGGTTTTGTGTGTGCGAAACTGAGCGTGGATCTGTAAAGTTTAATATTTATCTAACTATACCCCGTTTGTTTGTATAATATGTTTTACAAAATTGCAAAGTAAATACTATAATATTATAAAAAATGTTTGAAAATGGTTGACGAAACCCCTAACATAAGTCCTAAATTGGGTGTGTATAGGAAAGTAATTTTATTAAATGGTGAATCGCAGCCAACTTCCAATTATTAAAGCTCTTCATATAATACAAATGTACATGTATAATGCGCTTGGATAAGGAGAAATTTATGTAAAATGTATGCAGAACCATTGTGAGGCGTATGTCAAGAAAAAATTGACGTTCTCATATTTTCAGCTTTAAATAAACATTTTGATGTAAGAAAATATTATCAAACTAATATTCATATTCATTCATATAATATGAAACGGCAAACGTTTCTATTCAACTAACGATCGTTGTGCTGATCATCAATACATAATTTCTTCAATATTTATTTTGCTGCATGTTTTGTGTTGTGTGCTTTGCTGTTTGCTTCGTACATTGGCGACGCTGCGGTTGACGTTCATTTCGATGCCGACGTCGACTGCACTCTTGACTCTGTTCGCAGCGATTTGGCAGCGGCAGCTTTTGGCGATTTTCCCCCGACCCTCTCTTCCAAACCCGCTGATGATTTTTGCGCGCAGCTGATTCTGTTGTTCTTTTAAAAATAGAACATTTATTGTTTGTAGTTTTTGCTGTTGTTGTTGTTGTAAAGCATGCTTGATTTGTTGCCAATTGCAGGCGTATTGTCATTTGCAATGCACCCCCTTCCCCAGCCCATGACTGACTCATCATCAGCATAATTTGCACTTGAAATCCACAGAGAAATATATTGTATTTACACCCTAGACTGTTTGAATATGGGGTATAATAGCTTGTGGCAATGTTTCTAACAGGCTGCAAAAGACTTCATTAAACGAATTTCGAGTCGATCTAGCCATGTCTGTCTGAATGTCTATATGAACGAGTAATTCTCGAAAACTATTATATAAAGGCTAGATACTTGAAATTTAAAATATATTCATATGCTTCTATATCGTTATCTATATATTATCAAATATCGAGAATTGAGAAATGGTATTTCGGGCATAGGTCGTACATTTTGATAGCTAGATACCCAAAACTTGCTATATAGAATCTTGTACAGTATATATACATTAAAAAGATTTCACTGTTTGGATAACTTTCACCATTCTTCCCAAAATTGGAAATAACAAAAGAAGAGCCTTGTCATCAAGAATACTGCCTAATTTAAGCTCCGAAATTTTCATACACATCGAAAAGTATATTATTAAATAATAATTAACATAATTAGATAATATAAATATTGAATATTATTTAATAAAGTTAATTAAGAATGTATGAATATATAGAAAGAAACTAGAATTTTTCTAACCCCAGCTCACCACAGCGCGCAGGGTATCTCCATGTCGATCACTATATGAAATAGTTGGGCAGCCTTCATAAAAATATGAAATACATTTTTTGCATGTTTCTGCGGCATGTTTTGTCTTAACACATGACTAATTCTTTGGCCAAATCGCAGACATAAACTCTTTGATTTTATTTCGTTGGGGGTTCAACAACTTTGCAAATCTGCGCAAATTTATTTTATTTATACTAAATCGGAGATAAAAAAGGCCGTGTTTTTAGTTAGTAAAATATGTGAAACAAATATCAAAAGTCAACCAAAACAAAAAGAAATGACTAAAGCTAGAAAGATTACGCACAGTTTTAAAATACAAATTTCAATTAAAAAAAAAAAAAGTATTATGAAAATAATTAAGAGGAAAAAACGTTCATAAATTAGGCTAAAACAATTTCTTATTTTCCTAATCATCATATTTTGTCTCACTTTGATTTTAGGCATTTTAGTTTGCAATAGCTTGCTGATTTGTTCGTTTTTTAAGAAAGAATTAATTTGTTTTAGTTTTAATTTTTTAGGCAACAATTTTGTGGCCTGTCAGCAGCTGTTTATCATTTGATGTTGCGCATACGCCGCGTTGGCGTCCAATAAATATTCACGTGCAACCAATTGGCATCAAGTGCCCCCTGCTCTGGCTCGCTCTCTATCCCCTGCCACACACTCTCTCTCTCTTCGTCATGCTGCGTTTTCGACATGTCCAAAAATAAAGCCTATTTTATAGCCAAACACAATTGCGAAACGTCAAATCGTTCGCAATATTTCAAATACTCAGAGTACAAAAAGAATTCGAAAAGTTTTTTCCTTTAATATGATTTTTTTGTTCGCTTTGAAGTACATAAATTTCATAACAATGTGGCGCTCAGGTGTGTAGAGGCGTGAAACAGTTGCTAAATAAAGAACTCAACTACTTGGTAGACCCAAAATTTCTGGGGCCCCGACTAAAAGGGACTCCAGCGAGAACTCGGCAGGCGACTATCAAGAGAATAGATCACAAAATATGGCAAAAATTCTCAAAAACGTTGTGTGCAAACTCTTCACTATATTTTCATTTGCTTGCACACCAATATTGTTCACACTTATATATATATATATATATATATATGTGATTTTGTACACATATAGGGATTATTCATCGCATCTGTTATAGCTGGATACTATAGATGTTCGCCTTCAGTAGTGCACATACTCTGACATTTTTCTCGATCTCGTTGCGTTATGCACTAATTGAATAATTATGTGGCGCTAGATGTACAACACACGCGCCTACATTCACATAGATATATATCTATATATATATTTTTGTATATATTTAACGTTTTGTTTTGGCACTCAAATCGGTATATTGCGTATACGCCGCGTATTCCCTACGACACGCACACTTCGAAGTCAATGCAGCAACTGAAATTTGGTTTTTCGAAAATGCCCAGCTATTACCATACCATAGCTGAGAATTGAGAGCAAAAAGAATTATTCGTTCGAAAATTGTATACACATATATATTCATTTCCATATATTATTCTTTTCAGTATTTCCATGCGGCTGTCGCCCGAAAAAAATATGTTTTTGAGTTAAAATTCTTGACAGCCAGCCCCGAGGCATTTCAGTCTTTCGAATATGACTAAGAGTTGGGGTCTTTAGGTCTACCTGCCTTTAATTAGAGCAGCCTGCGACACGTGTGGTCAGACCAAAAGAAAAGAGACAGCCAAATTTGACACTGACATACACGTAAATCAAAATGCCAACAACATTTGTCCGCTGACTCACAGCGCTCTTCTGCCGCTCTATCAATTGCTTTGGGCATTGGCCAAGCGAAAATCAAGCCCAATAACATTCAGGATTGTTAAGGATCTTCGAAATTGAAAGAAGGCCATGAAATATGCATCATGTAGTCATGGACTGTTGATTTGAAAATAATTGAAAAATTTCTATCCTCTCTTTTAATCGTCTTTTGCAAATATTGGACGTTTTATGCCGATCGCGAAATTTCACTGCATTTACGGGAAATGGGTGGAAGATTTTGAAGAGATTTTTAAAAGATGGCTCGGGCAATGCCCGCTTTGGATATTGTCTTATAACAAACCTAGACTTCCACTAATTTCCATCAATGCTTGCATGTTTGTATGAACATACGAAAATATTTATGTATTTATGTACATTTGCATGTATGCATGTATGTTTTTATGCAAATATACAGTGAAAAGTATCCTAACGGACACTCATATTAGTCAGACACCAAACCCAAACCCGCCTTTATTAAACGGATAGTCGCTGTCCGCCCAAGGGAGCTTTTAATGTATATTTGCATTTGTAACTATTTTACTTTTTTATATCTATACCAAATGCCGACATTTTTAATAAAGCTCTTCTCTGCGATTGTCATAAAATCAAGTAAGACTTACAGGCTGTCATTCTTTGATTATAAGTTTTATATTAACAAATTGTGCTGGCATTCTAAAATACTTCATCTCAGGGCATATTCCGCTTATCCGCAGGTTATCTATTAGTAAAATGCTTTAAAGGTTTACTTTAAAATCTGTATAAATATACTCAATTTTATTACTTTTTTACAATTAAATTAAATAGAAATTGTATTTTAAAAAAATCCACCTATTAAATTTAAACTGTGAGACTATGCCTTTATACTATAAATTAAAATGTTCACAAGAGTTGTCTTTGTAGTGTGCCCTGTGGATAGTCCCGCACCGTATTGCGATGCATCTGAACATCCTGCACACCTCCCTTGACCTCGATGAGGGCAACCGCATCAAAGGGCATGCGATGGACATACTGGGCGTAGTGTTGACCATTTATCGCTATCAGATAACAGTCGCTTGTCACGAGCACTTGGACGGCAAATCGTTCACCTCGGTGCACGGGTATTGGGCTGGAAATCTCTTCTCGGTTCCACGATTTGCGTGCTCTGCTATTACGTATTAGATGATTTTTTTTAAAGTGGAACTTGATGTGCAACGGAACATCCCTTGTTTCATTCGCATATAGGAAGCTAATCTCGAGTCTGTGAACGTGCAGATATTGTAGTATAAAGAGAATATGTAGCTCTATGGAATTGCTCTACTTACTCCTGACTCCTGGCATCGATCCGGCCGCTGAAGAGAAAACTATCTGCCTCGCACAGTGGTCCCACTTCAGCCACATCATCGGCAAAGTAAAGCATGGGCTGTATATCATACTGTACGTGTGGTGGAGGCTAAAGACGAATAAATTATATTTCAATTGGGATTACGATATATAAAGCTAAAAATGGGTGGCAAAGCAGGGGGTTGTGGCTCTAAAACTGTAGCCAGTTGATTTTAAACTTTTACGTTCGAATTGTGACTCACGGAAATGAAGATTGATTTGATTTGTGATAATATGGAAAGGAGTCAGCCATAAAATTCTAGCTTTGTAATTAAAACTGGAAACAGGTGGGAAATAGCTTTCAGGAAGTGACTTTAAATTTGTAGCCAACGACTTTCAAGTTATGTTGCGATTTGTCGAATTCGCTAGATAACGTGGAAGGGAATTCGGCAGAAATCTACTCTATAGTTTTGTTATTACAGCTGAAAAATAGGTGAATAATAGGCTTGGTAACTTAACAACTTTACCCAGTGACTTAAAACTGTGACTTACGAACTGTGATTTTTGGAAGTGTGCATTAATGTGACTAATGTGATAAGATGGAAGGAAGTTCGTCAGCCATCTAATTTATAGTTAATTAATTACAGCTGAAAATAGGTGGAAAATAACCATCCTGAAGTGACTTTAAAATTGTACTCAACTACCTTCAAACTGAAACTTAATAAAAAATGAATTGAAGCCAATGTATTCATTTCACGCGTAGAAGGAGTCATCCTTGTTGCTTCTTAAATAATAACATGAGTTTATAAGTATATATTTCTTACCGCCAATTCGAGAAAACGATGTGGATAGCCCCGAACCTCGGAACGATGTATGAGCACATCCTCCACGTCGCCTTCGACGTCAAGGAAACGAACTGTGCCGTAAGGATGACGATGCATGTAATGATCCACGTGATGGCCATTTAACGATATCAAGTAACAGTTCTGTGTGACGAGCACTTGAACGGCGAACCTTTCGCCCTGCCGGAAAGGGAAAGGTATCACGGAGTGGGTTTCCTCACGGCCCCATGTGCCACGTATTCTGGTGTTCCGCACCACATATTGCTTGCCGAATCGTGGATTGATATGCAGAGCCACATCACGAGTCTGACTGTCATACACGAAGTTTATGGCGAATCTGTTTATGAAGACCTTGCTAATATAAAATCGATAAATAACGAATATGAATTTACCCGTGTGCCTCCGGTAAAATTTGCCCAGTAAACAAATAACTAACACCCTCGTAAAGCTTTCCGATTTCCGTGACATAATTTGCTATAATGATAAAAAAGATATATGAAAAGATGTAACTTTAATATTTTCATTTGTCGAGCTTACCCTCTGGTATGGCAAACGTATCAAGAGTTACTATGGCAGATTCACCAACCAAAGGAGCATTGGGTCTAATGCTGGGATAAAACTGCGGAGGCTCTACTTCACTGCCAGGATGAACCTCAGCGGGTACAGATTCAATGCCGGGATAAACCTCAGCTGGTACAGATTCAAAACCAGGATAAACTTCGGCGGGAACAGATTCAATGCCAGGATAAACCTCAGCGGGCACAATTTCAACGACAGGAGACTCCACTACCGGGATCACGGGTTCAGGATCAATCACAGGTGTCACGGGTTCAACGATAGGAATGCTAAAAAACATAAACAAATACATTTGTTTATTTTAATAAAGTGCAATTCTCTATTGATTAATTTTCGGAATCCAGTTATTCAGACAACTGAGCACGATTAGGACTACAATCTCAGGTTAGTATTCGTGTAGGGTTTCTAAGCTAAGGGACCTGGAAGCCAGAAGTATAAAAATCTACTAAGGCTTTACTATACCATGTTGTGTAATAATAACATATTTCGATGTATAAAACTGTTTGCCATGAGTGACTGACTGACTGACTGACTGACTGACTGACTGACTGACTTACTGACTGATCGGTGATCAACGCACAGCCCAAACCGTAAGAGTTACAAAGCTGTAATTTTCATTGTAGTTACCTTATGTGATGCAGGTATACACTAAGACCCGTTCTGTACGTACATATGTATGTGTGTATGCATGTATATGTGAGTTTATGTATGTACGTGAGAATGTTTGTTTACATGCATGTATGTATTTATGTGTGTATGCATGCGTGTATGTATGCGTGTATGTATGTGTTTGCTTATATAAATGCAGTTGAAACGGCATGTCAAATAAGTTCTGATAAAGATCTTTGACAATGAGTTTGAAACCGATAATAAAACAAAAAGTTAAATTTTTTTTCGTCGGATTTCCACAGTTGCGGGTAGAATTTAGAATTAGAAAATAGCTAAAACACGTATTCATTAACTTCTTATGTAGAGCTTTGAAAATAAGTTTGATGCAAATCGTACAAAACCTTCGCTTAACCAAAAAATCTTTGAATCGCGATTTTTACCGAAAAAGCTTGAATTTTTCGAACAATGTGAAACACGTCACAACTGATTTTTCATATTGATCCTCGGAAAAGAATTTGAACGCGAAACGTCACCCACCAAATCTTTGACATCCATTTCTACGTTGCATTGATCACCAATCAGTCAGTCAGTCAGTCAGTCAGGACAAACAGTTTTATATATAGAAATATATACATAAATACACATATACGTTGAACATACAGACAAACATACAAACATATGTATATACATTTTTTCTAAAAGCTATAAAAATGATTTTGACACTGATCGGACGGTAAACAAACGACTTTCATACAAACGTTTCCGCCAATTTACCACTGTTGCGGGTGGAATTCACCAAATCGCTAAAACACGTATTCATTATATTCTTATGTAGACCTTTGAAAATAAGTTTAAAGCAAATCGGACATAACTTAAAACATCGCTCAAAAAATCTTTTAATCGCATTTCTACCGAAGAAGTTTTGATTCTGCGAAAAGTGTGAAGCACGTCTCAAATGATTTTTCATATAGATCTTTGGAAATGAATTTGAGCGCGAAACGTCACCCACCAAATCTTTGACCCGCATTTCCAGCAAAGAGGAATGGATTGTCAATCGGATGGTAAACAAAAAAGTTTCATACAAACGTTTATCACGATTTTTCAACACTTGCGTGTGGAATGTTGCCAAACGCCGTCTCAGCGTGAAACTACGTCAAATAATTTAACTTAGACAGTTAAAAGTAGGCTTTAAAATTAAAATAATTTTGATTACAATATTGCATAATTTTTGGATTTCATATAGGCAAATCGAATAATTGACTTACTTTTACAGCCACTAGATATTAATATTAAAGTTAACACTCACCTATTGGGATCCGATTTGGGGCGCAATGGGGCGCCATCCTTTAGCTTGCAATTGGGATATTGGGCCAAGTATGTCATCACGGATTGCTCATCCACATTGGGATCAACTAGTTCCTCCGGCCTGATCAGCTGGCGCACATCCAGCCAATCGTCAGCCAGTTGCATAGCCTCGGTGGCATTCTGCACGGAATTATCGGGATCCCAGAGTTCCCAGTCGGGGCACAGGCCAGGGGCGCTGGCATCCACCAAAGCGCCCACCGGCTTGCCCGTGGTCCAGTCTTTGGTGAAATTATTGATGGGCATGCCGGGTATCTTGATTTGTATCCAAGCCAGCAGGCTGCAGCAGCAAAGGAAAGGCATTTAGTTATCGAGCGGCAGTATTTGAGTAAGCCTTTAACCTACCGTTGCTTGGGCGTTTGACCCGTTTCCGTCGATGGCTTCTCCTCATCGCCCTCCCACACGGGCATCGATATCGAGTAGTGCAGAATGAGCGTCCATATAAGGCCCAATATAAGCTTCAGCTTGCCATCGACTATATCCGAAGAGTCTGTGAATGGAAATTGGATTGTTGAGGAACTGGAACTGGACTGAGGTCTAGTCATGGATAAGTTACCGATGTTAACAATTTTAATGCCCTCATCCTGCAGAAATTGCAGTGCAATCGATACGTTCTCCAATTTCTGGCTACGGAATGTGGTTCGTTTATTGTGTGGAGGCAGTTGCTTCTGCGACAGCACCTCGATGAGGCCAATCAGACGCAGGCCATCGGACAGATCCGTTTCCAAATTATCTATGGAACTACCGATGCTCTTCAGATGCTCATTGCTCCAGCGAGTAAAGGTGTTCTGTTGGATTTGCTTCCATTGGGCGTGCTCGTCAAGATTATGTTCGGCTTGCATATCTGATTGGAGTGCTGTTTTTGCTGTGGATAAAAGGCCTTTGTCTGAAGTTTGTCAGCCAGGATTTGAGAATAATTCACAGAGATATTGTAACTTTTCGAAATAGTTCTTTTATGCCAATTTAATGTTTTCGCCGTGGCAATTTCTGATCAACTGAGTTGCTTGCGCCTTTTAGCCCAAATTCTTAATGACACACCCAGTTGCTGTATACCCTATAGCTGGTGAATAGATTTAACAGGGTTAGTTATACTTGTAAGAGCGTATGCTACAGTTAGAAGTAGGCTTTAGAATCTACCGAATCTATCTATAAGAATGCAGAGATCTGCTGGAATCATTCTACTTTGCACTTCACCGAGTCTCTCTATAACAAAGCATATCGGAAAACAAAAACCAAAACAATAGTATTTAATGTTATAATTATAATCTTTCGTTTCAAAGATTTTAATAGTTTGCACAGGGTATTTGCTAGTCAACCACTATCGTCTAGAGTATTCGTTGCCTGCATTTATCAGCAAAAAGTTAAGTTCTTAAAAATGTTGATAAGAGGCGTGACTAAATCCAACATTGCGAACAAACCAATATTTTGCAAACAAAATTTGTCATATTTTTATGTCAGTTTATCAGTATTGGAACTTTTTACTTTTGCTTCACAGAAATATAAAATTGGCATTTGATAAGCGGGAAAAACTTAACTGAATCATTAACTGACGGCATAATTTTAAATAATTTTGAGAGCTTCACAAGGTATCTATCTATTTTATATAACTTATTATTTTTTTAAACTATCCACAAATAATCTAATCAATTTGTGAAGAGTTCTTGGCCAGGAGATACGCGACAGACTGCTTTAAATTATCCTCATAGACATTTCTTTGCTCGTATCATAACTGAAGAATTCAATATTTAGTTCTATTTTGGAAGCAGACCGCCTCAAGTTTAATTTTGACAACAAATTTGTTTAAATATAAATGCAAGTATTTTTCATTATCGAAATTACTTGATTACCATATAGGGATCCATAGATACATTTAATTTTCGGCTCAACCTTCTTGCCGAAAATGGGGAAGAGTTGTCTGCCAGTTGTATAACAAATGGATTTGGATGGCAGAACAACCGATTCTTAGGTTAAGTTTCAAAACGGTTGACTATTTCGATAAGAGGGGCGAGGTTCAGGTCCTTCCTAATAAAACAGTTCCGAATTAGCGGAAGGTTTTCAATAAAAGATATCATAACAAGATTTAGGCTTTGTTGCAATCTAGCTAGGTCGCTTTGAGCTATGACGTCTCGAAAAGAATTATATAACCTGCGAAGGTCAAGTGGCTCTAGTTATCTTAGTTTTATTCGCCTGGCTTAAAATGTAGTACATTTATATCATTGATTAATTAAATTGAAAACGCTTAGGTGTTTGTCTCCAGTTTGTGGCATGTGGCTTGTCGTTGAGCTGTGGGTGGAGGTTGGAGTAGGTGGGCGAAATGCCGCTTTGCAAGCCCCCGGCTGAGCCGGGCCTTTACCACAGTCTTTGAATAATTTTTAATGTGCAGCCAAATGGTCCTTGAATTTGGCTGTAAGTCCTTATTTGCTCTTAATGAGTGCCAAGCTCAAATTTCTGTGCAGTTTGACATAGAACGGGCAGCCAGCGATTAGTAGCAGGGAACACAGTTTGACCTTTAAATGCACCTTAAGGAAGAGGATCTGCTCTAGAGTCTTGCATGGTTCTGTGCCCAAAAACGTGCTCTTCTCCCCGTTGCATGTTAAGCTTCGTTTGTTTTAGCAGGAACTGGGGAGATGTACAAAAAAAGAGTACTCTTCTGGATATGTTCATATATTGAGAGATATGGTCAGGAGGTTGGTATCGATATTAATCGATTGAGTGGAAATGGGCAGGTTATCGATGAGTGGGAGCAAACTTGATCTTTGTGTGACAGGAACTTAGCTCTTATGTCTCAGAGTCCCTAAGATCGACTGAGAGCGATGAGCAGACTCGACAGGTTCGACTCGCCTGCTGATTAAGAATTATTATACTTTATGAAATCGAAAAACCAATCTTCTGCTGGTACAGCAATTAACTAAATCACACACATACTTTTACTGACAATAACTTAAACTAATAATAGCTAACCATTGGTTTTAGTTAGACGTTAAATTAATTATCTGCTGTTGCACACTCGCACATTTGCCATTGCCGCTCATAACGCGCCGCATCCACTCTCTGTAGTAACGCGCATCCATAAAAACGTCGGGCACACCCTGAGCACAGGGCACCATAAAGTTGAGTATGCCAATTAGTTGGCCGTTGTGGACTAGCGGACCGCCAGTGTCGCCATGGCAGGCACCTATGTTTTGTGCTCGAAAGGCGCAAACATGACACGCCCCCAGCTGAAGATCCTCGTAGGCGGCGAGTCGCGTCTCGCATTCCTGCCGCGTGATATGCTGCTGTTGCACGCGTTGCAGCAGCGTGGGCGTGGAACCGCCCGCCGACTGTGTGCCCCAGCCAGTGAAGAGCAGTTCCGCGGTTCCCACAGGCCAGGATGCATGCGCCAGCGCCACGGGCTGCGTGAGTGCATCATAGCGAATGCTCTCGTTCAGCCGGAGCAGGGCAATATCATTATGGTACTTGGGCTGGTCGTAGTTGCAGTGCACATAGATAGCCGAGGGATAGTGGAGAGCACCTGGTTGAGTATAGCGTATGGTGCCCACAGCCACGCGCAGGCGATCCGCTGGCCAACCGCTCACACAGTGCCCCGCCGTGAGTGTCCAGCTTGCTGAGAGGATGGCCCCGCCGCACAAATGGCTGCCCGCCAGAGTTTGCAGTGAGATCTGATAGGGTGCATCGCCCTCACCAGCATTCTGACCGCCCACAATGGAGTCGGCGGAGCGTGGCAGCAGCAGCAGCAAGACGAGCAGCGGGTATATCAGCGGCAACAGGCCGCGTCCGTGTCGTGTCATATTTGATATCCAAGTGCAGACTGAGCGCTCAGCACTGTCGACAATTGGTTATGTTCATCCAAACGATAAGGTATATCGACTTTGGAGCCAATCTGATCATAACTGTATTCGGCCTGGACAATAAACTGATTTTTTACGATCAGTTTGATAAATGGTCAAGCAATAGTCGATCAAATTTGGCGCTAAATGTCAAAACAATCGCAAAATATGATAATTATAGATCGTAAGATAAAAACTTGGTGCACACGAACTGGACTCTGGTCTACAAGAAGCCCACCTACTGAGTGTGATTTAAAGGGAATACCAATAGATTGATCATGATTGTGTTCTATTCATCCGAATTTAGATTCCATATTATGCATGGATATAGTATTGTTTTTATCTACACGTATATCCTGTGACTATGATAAACATTTCGGGGAAGATGAGTTGTTTAAGTGAGCCCGTTATGTTGGCAACTGAACAACGAAGATCCGGGCTCGAGTCCTTTACTGGAGTTTGTATACAGAATGGTCTTGGCTAAAGTCAAATGTTGACAGTGTTCAAAAAGCTGATAGTTAATAACTTTTATGTCCTATACTAATAATAATAAAACTTCCAAGCCTAATTTTAATCTTAGTCTCTTAATTAAACGGCAAACTAGGTCGATAATATGTTGTCTATATATATCTTTATATATCACATGCATATGTGTATATGAAACAAAAAATAACATTTATTTATGCAATGCCGAACTTTAAATACCCTTGCAGGTGTATGTTAGATTTCTCTAAAATCAGCACTAATAATCGGGCGTTCGATCATTAGATACTTTAGTTGGACTAATGTAGAAAGGATTTTGCTCTTGTGTTAGGAGCGTAATAAAGCTCGCAGCTGATGAGTTTGGTTGAGATATCTTACCTATATCTTACCAATAAAATACACTCTCGTGCTCAATGTTATCTTTACCTAAAATTCGCAACGAACGGATATGGATTCATCAATATTTTGTGGTTGGGTCCCCTCAGGGGGTATTATAATATTGTTATGAAATGTGTAATGCCCCATAAAGTGTATTACTCCTGATCAGCAGCCGAGCTTATATAGCCATGTCCGCCTGTCAATCTGTTTGTTTCTATGCGAACTAGTTTCTCAGCCTCAAAGCTAACGTCTTGAAACTTTGCATAGGTGCATCTTTCTGTTGCAATAACTATATATGTCGAAACCGACAGGTCTAAAAGTAGGATCTTGTATGGACAACTTTTTTGCTTACCACCTTGGTACTCATATCCTATTAAGATCGCATATTTACATTATTTTGCTCTATAGGAAGAACTGGTCGAAAATTGAATTTTTAGTGAGGCAAATCTTTTAAATCTTCGGCGTGCCAAAGATATGCGTACTTTCTCGTTTATCTTAACAAAATCATTTCTCGATGGTTGGATCGGTTTGGGCTTCGCTTCGGTTGTTTCTTGAGCAATTGTTAATACCGGATTTGAACCGGTTTGGTCAAAAACCAGTCTGCAGCCTTATTTATCACACATTTTGCCAGGCGTATAAATAATATAATAATCATAATAAATCTAGTTTCCTATTAACATCAAACCAAGCGGCCTGTTGATAAGGCAAGCGAATGGGTTTATAAGGACTGGACCTAGCTAGGTAAAAACCCAAATACCTAATGTCACTTAAAGGTAATACGAATACCGAATAGCCCGGCTATCGCTAGACTGGGCTATGGCTCTATTGCAATCATAAACTGTCCAAGGCGTTCATAAAATCTGCCTGATAAAAGTCGGTTAAAAAACCTCCGATAAAACTCCTAGCAAATAATACTGTGCTTAGTTTGCGTTAGTTTCTTGGACGGAAAAGATGAAGTTGCTCCACTTTTGCCTAATATTTTTACTGCTGCAGCAGCTAACTGTGGCCAAGCGTTTACTGGACTTGGATGCTGCCAACGCTGGCCAACTCTCCGACCAGGGTCGCATTACGGGCGGTCAGACGGCAGAGATTGGATTTGCCAAGTATCAGGTGTCGCTGCAGCCCGCCCTCGGGTATCACAACTGTGGCGGTGCCATTCTGAACGAGCAGTGGGTTATCACGGCTGGTCACTGTGTGGTCGACTATCCAAACGAGTTTATTGTGGTGGTCATGGGCACCAATCGCTATGCGGAACCCGGCGCCATCCACTACCCTGCGGAGAAGCATGTGCACTGCATGTACGATA